TAATGAGCAGAATTGAAGGATTTAACCAGGAAAACAAATACTTTATGCAGGACAACAACAAACAATATATAATATTCAATGAAAAAAAAAAAAGAGCTAAAATTAAATTAAAAGGGGAAAAACAACAACAAGACCATCCAGAGGACAAGCATCAGAAAGCATTCCAATGATTCCAGCAAACAGAGCAGCACAAGGTAGGACCATCCTGCCACAACACCAATAACTCACAAGATTACCAAAGTTATATAGAAACATTATCACTTTTCAAACATACATCGACATTCAATATGGAAAACTGCAATTTAAAAGGACAGAACAAAGAAAATGTACAAAACAAAGACTCTAATATACAAGCCACAGCCAGCAGGGGGTCCAACACCTGAGATTGTTTACTCAGAGAAAGAGCAACCAAGCAAGAAAAGCCATGGAAGAAAGTACAAATTGAAGAAAACCCAGATACTGTGTGCTGACTTCTCTAAAGGTGGCCATACACCTTACAACCATTGTACAACTTTTTTGTGCAGACATCTCACCCTCGTTTAATTTTCTTACAACTAGCCCATCATACACAGACCAATGTAGTTCACAATTAAAGGAGAACTATGACTTAAGGGCAAATAAAAATACCCAACACTTCCCATCAACTGGTAACTTTTCGGACGAAAACCGCAGACAAAAATCTGCAGATAATGGCAAGGTGGGCACCTTAATAATGATCATGACAGGAAGAAAACAAATGCACTATATTATACTTAGAACACTGAGGCCTGGCATCGAGCTTTCTGCAAATACTATAATAATAATTATTATAAAAGGAGGCATCTGCAAGGGGCGGCAGATCAAGGTCAGGGATGAGGAAAATCAAGAGTGTGCCTTACTCATCCTGAGCATTTACCACAATGGCACCATCATAGTACAAGTCACGGAGACCAATTTAGAGGAATTTGAGCAACTCTTCCCTCAAATAAAAGAACAAGCCAAGGTCTTAAAGACTTGAAGGATCTACAAAGTCCAGCTAGTAAGACCTGTGAGGATCACATTCCAGCAAAGATATCCCCCAGAGACATGTCTGCATTATGTCTCAGTCAAGAACTCTCCTCACCCGAGGTCCTCAGAGACTGCTTATCTCAATTAGAAAGAGACTTTGTCCAATTCAAGGAACAGCTTCAAAGACAAATTAGGTGAGAGAAATGCAGATCACCAACTCAGAGAAGAAATAAACACCCTGAAATCTGAACATAGGTCAGCCCTACAGGAAATGCAATTGAAGATCCAACTACAAGGAGGAAAATATCCAGCTAAGAGAAGAGATAACAAAACTAAAAAAAACACACAGACTATCAACCAGGAGAGAGAATCAAAAAGGATGTAAATAGACAAAGTGCCTGACAACGCACAAGAGACTAATAAGACTAATGCATGTCCACACATCAACAACAACACAGAGACCAGTGACAGCCAAAACCACTCACAAAATCCTGAACCCACAACCAGCCGGCCATCAAATCCCAGACAACAAACTCCTAAAATTGTAATAATAATGGACTTAAATGGGAAGTACATAAACACAAGAAGGCTCTTCCCAGGAAAGAAAGTCACCAAAATCTATTGTGCTACCATTGAACAGACAATGGAAATCCTCACCAATCCATACTTCATGAACCCCAAAGAAGTCATACACACAGGCACGAACAACATTCAGGCACAAGAGGTAGGCATTGCAGACAAACTGTCGCAACTGACAGACTGCAGAGCAAAAATTCCCCCACTCCAAATTAATTCTATCCTGCCTACTTCCAAGGAAGGACATACTGAACCATATCATCCAGAACATCAACACAGAACTGGTGGCTAAAACTAGCTCAAAGCCCAACATCCTTCCATAACCCCTGAATACCTCTACGATAACAAACGCCTCAACAAACAAGGGGCGAGTCACCTGGCAAAATAATTTAAAGACATTGGTGTATGTTTAACCCTTTAGCTGCCAAGCAAACATTTTTCAAATCAGCTGGCCAAGCCATTTTTGAATTTTCTGCAATTTTTTCCTATTGATTTGATTTTCTACGGCTGCGTTGCTAGCGTTTGTAAAAGACCCCACAAACCATATATTTTCTGAAAGCGCAGGCCCGGTAGAATAAAAAGATGGTGATACTAAATTTGTAGGCCCTGCGATAATTGTGCAAATGTTTCTCAAATTAATATTAAACCGATAAAAATACACAATTCAATTGTTAAAACACACCAAAATCAGTATCCGTGCACAAAAAAAATAATTTTCTGACTAAATCTAAAAGATAAAACTGTATTGAGTTAATAAATAACAAATATTAGCAAATTTGTAATTGCGCCTTTTTGCGAAAAGGTAAAAAAATTAAAGGTATGCAAAACTGTAAATAAGCAACTTATGTTAAAAAATTGTTTTCACGCTGTATTGGTGTTTGTGTTGTGATAAAATTATACAGGCGTATATTTATTGCAACACAAAGATCACAACGCATGGAAATGCGTCACAAAGCTTTGCCATGCGCTGCCAAAGTTAATTTAATTTTTTTTAAAGAAAAAAATACATTAAAAAAATCATGCACTGCGATGCGTTCTAACAACGCACTGCAGCGCATGTGCATGGCGTACACCTCAATATGTGTATGTTATGTGGGGGGAGGGAGGGGTT